TCAAGTAAGAGTAAAAGTACTTGAGTTATTTAGTTACTTTTTTGTATTTCCGCTGTCACAGCCTGAACGTATTTCTGAGATGACTCGGCTACATCATTGGAAATAATCTGTACAGAAACACACTAAAGCTAAAATTCTGAGCTCTGAGACTGATCACAGACCTCTACAGACAGTAAACACATTCACAGCCTTCAAACTGTATATTTTCACTGATATCCGTTCAGAACATTTACACCATTAAAATCAGCAGCAACATCAGCAACTTACTCAGCTTTGAGTTTTTTGCTGTAATACATTTCACCAGTAATCATGCTGATCACTTCATACAGAATCAGACATTATTACTGCATTTAACAGTTAAACAGCTACACAGCCTCTCACAGTTAAAGATAAACACCAAGGCAGAGAAAGAGAGACACAGAGACAGACAGAGAGAGAGAGAGAGGGACAGAGAGAGAGAGAGGGCGGGGAGGTGGAGAGGGATCAGATCAGGCCAGTCAATGACAGTGCTACAGAATCACTGTCCAGAGTTTATGAAGAGCCTGTGTTAGACTAGATTTCTTGTCTCACAGCTGTTCACGGCTGTTTATCTCCAAAACAGCAGCTAAACTAGGCTGTATAAATGGTAAACTCTGTGTGGTGGGCAACACCTGTTAACTAAAGTAACTGACAGGCACTGTAATAAAATACATGCAACAGATTTGAAGTTTAATAAACAGAAACATTATAAAAGAAAGAAGAAAATCGTAAACACAGTACCTGTTTAGCTCGGATCAGACTGCTGTCTCAGTGTGTTTTTTTTTCTGTCGGAACTGCTGTGTTTTTCCTGCCGGTGCTGCTGTTTTTTGTTTGGTGAATCTTTTGAATTTAACTGCACTTTGTTCGTATTGGTTTCTGAGCTGATTCGTAATAATTTAATTTACTCTGTAATGTTATGAAAATTAAGGTAGCGAAGTAAAATTATTTCATTAAAAATTAACTCAAGTAAGAGTAAAAGTACTATGATTTAATTCTACTCCAAAAAGTACTGTTACAGGGAAAACTGTACTTACATTACAGTAACGAGAGTAAATGTAATTCATTACTTACACCTCTGATGACTTGTATCTGCTGAGTTACTTAGATGACTAGATAACATTTTGGTTTTATTGTTGTGGCTTGCTCACATCGCTCACTGTGAGGACACTGTTTTTCATTGTGTTGTGGCCAATCATAACCCTGATACTCCCAGCATCTTTCCTAAACATCTGCTTCATTCCTTTCTCCTCTAATCACTGCTTAGCAACCGTTTTACTATAACTATTACCTTGGCCAAACTTTCATGGTTTTTAGCAGTGACCTAGCATCCTTGTGAATGTACTGTGAATTTGAAGCTTCAAATATTCAAAAGGTGTGCCTGGTAGGTCTGTAAAAGAGCGGCACTTCAACAGAGTAGATGATGCCCATTTCCAATGCTAAATATATCATGTGACTTAATGAAAAAGAGTTCATTCTTTTTGGTAGATATAAATGAAAAACCAATTTCCATCTCTGCTGTGACAGTATGCTTTAGCAGGAATGCTTGACGGTTTGGTTAGTTTTTGGTCAATATTATGTGTATTTCATTTGCCAGATTTTAATTGACCATTTTCATTGGGGTGAATGTTTTGCTTGTGAGGAGCGGATGCATGCTTTAAACGGAAATGTCACATTAGTTGTTGTGATTTTGTAACCTGCGCTCGTGTTAAAGTGTGTAATCCTGCGATTGTTTTGTCTCGATTGGAAAAAACAGCGTTTGTAGCAGTGACATGGCCAACAGTGTGGTCAGTGTGCTGGCATCCTTGTGCTGCACAACCTGCTTTGATATCATAAAAAATTCCCTGACCATCCAAAAATATATTCAGGTATGAGCCCACCAAATATTTTGATCAGGGGATGATAACTTTTTATAATATTTTTAATATAAATTTCATACATGTTATGAGAAGTTTATGGAAATATATACTACATAAACCCAAACTTTGAAAAAAAAGACTCAAAATTCACAAAAAGATTTCATGCACAGACATGAAAAGGATGCCCTTTAATAAATGAATGTGTGTAATTACTGATATGCAACTAGTCAATAAAAAGTTAATTTTGATAATGTTATTTTTATACTCTTTTTATTAAATTATTTTATAATAATTTTCAAATTAAAGGTTACAAGTTTCATAATTTCATAATACAAATACAATGCAAAAAGTAGACACTTTTAATGATTTCTGAATATATATTTAAAGCCATGAAAAGAAAGAATCAACACATTATAAGCTATGCAAAATACAAAAAAGATTTATACAATTCAAACAACTCATGCATTACATTATTCAATACTTTTAACAAAAAACTTTGTTTCTTTATCAAAGCAGAGACAATCAAATCAAACTGCTTCAGCATTATAGAAAGTTACAAAGAGCAAAGAGAGCATAAGCTAATGTATTAATAGAGAGAGAATTTAACAACACAGTCAAGTTTAGGGTGAAATTTCAAACTTTTTCAAAACAATATTTTACTTTCAAAATGTTTTCATGACCTCCTGCACCCACTTAAAGCTGGGGTCCACACACACCTTTAAATTCTTCTTGGTGGTAAAACTAGAAGGAAAAAAGTTTTTGTCAAAAAAATAAATTGATATGGTGAGGTAATAATCCTATAAACAGTGCCTGATCAAATTTTAATTAAAGTTTCATTAAAGTTCAATTAAACTTCTATTGCAAAAGAACAGGGGTAAAAACCTACATCAATCCAGGTCTTGGACAGTCAGGTCTCGTTATTTCATAATTCGTAATGACTTTGGCAGGGAGTGCTCTGGTCCAGAAGCTGAAACAGCATTCCTTTGGTCCATTTCCATCTGTGTGAATATGATTTTGAATAATGTTCATCATCGTCACAATAAAATTTTGCTTTCATGAAACATAATACATATTGAAATATATTTCATTAAATATATAAACATGTATGGCCAAGGTGACTCAAGCTGGTATGTCATGGTATATAAGATGTTTACATTGTGTAACAATATTATCTATGTTTTGTTAAAGATATGTTTGTATTATTAAATTTTCTCAATAGTTGATCATAAAAGGCAGACACTGAACAGGTGTTATTGTGAAATGAGATGAATTCTAGATGAAAACATTATGCTTCAACATTAAAGATTTGCTATGAAAAAATCTGTTGTCTTTTCCAAAACCCTGTGTGAGAAAGATCACCTTCTAAAATGACTGCCTTGCTGTTTGAATGGCAGCTGTAACTAAATTAAACTTCACAATAATATGAATCAATCTCTGAAATAACAATGGTAGCATTTAGCCTTAAAGCGAGCTGATTAAACATATTACAGACAACATTTTCCTCATAAAAGTGTTGGATCGACCCCCTGAGGCAATACGATTTTATATAAGAGATATAACTGATGAATAAAATACAATACAAATGCACAGAATCTGATCAAATTCAAATAATTGTGATGAATTCCAATTACTTTTGTAGTTTTAGCTAGAGAATTCCAAACCTTAATAATAAAAACAAAAATTAGATCTTTTCTCTGATCCTCACTCCCAAAAACCAAAATCTATCTTACATGTATTAAACTGCAAGAGACAATCACCAGAAGAAACATATGTATAAAAAAGGTGGCCCTGGAATTAAGCCTTGTGGTACCCCACAATATATTGTATGCCACTTTGGATGTGTGAGAAAAGCACCCGGTGCCGTATAATAGTCATGGCCTCTCAAGCATGATCTGAACCAGCCTAGCACCAAGTCAGAGAAGCCAATCTTGTTTTACAGTCTGACAAGAAAACCTACACTAAGTTCCAGGAGAACCACTTAAAATTTTGAACTTTCAGCAGGCCCAGGAGGAGAGAACTAGAACAGACGCTCATGTCTGTGGCTTCAGCTGCAGAGGAGATGACACTCAGTGATATGAACAGAGCTTTGAAGCAGATTTCTCCTTCCTCTTGGGTTTTATAAGCAGGCAAGGGGTGGAATCGTGTTTGGGTGAAGGGACTGTTTGAAGTGGACTAAATACAACCTGTTTCCACAGGAAACCCATTTCTGGTAATCACCTACAACACGTACAGCTATCTGGCGTGCATTAGTCATTCTCAGAGATGACCACAACCTGGCTAAATATTCTCATAGCTTGTCATCAGTGAAATGAAATGCTCTCTGTTTGCCCTTGTAAAAAAAAAAAAGTATATTTAAATATATTTTTAAAAGTATACTTAATTTGAAAAGCACATGCTTTTAGTGTTAATACTTTATACATGCTTAAATGCATACTAAATGCATTATTTTGGAACAACTTATGACAACTTAAGTGTATTTAAATTGCAATAAAGGTATGTTTAAATATAACTTAAAAGCATTAAGTTGTCCTTTTGAGTGCTTTTTTCGGACAACTTAAGTTAACTTAAGTAGATTTAAATATGTGATTTTAAACACCATGTTATTATGCTTGAAATACATTATAAATGTACTTCTTGATGTATTAATGTACACATTGCATACACTGCTATGCCACTTTATGATACAATGCAATTAAAATAAACGTAAGTGCATGTTTAATTATATTTTAATATCACTAAATATATATATTTATTCACTTTATACATAATGCATTTAAGTGTACTCTGGTGTTTAATTTGGAACATTTAAATTACATTATATTGCCCTATTGTGCTTTTCTGTTCTAGACTGGAAAAGCTGTTAATTACAATACTTCAATATGCATTACTAAGATACAAATGTATACTTACTATATCATTTTTGAATATACCATTGAATGTACTATACATGCACTAACTTGCTACTTAATTTCAGTTATACTGCCACTAAAATGCACAGAAATACAGTGATATTTAGACATTTAGTGCGACAATAGCAACTTAACACATTTACGCTATATTTTGTACAGAAATAAAAACGCAAAAGCTGTGAATGTCCAACAAGCAAGTTTATTTAAATGAATTCACTCAGCCTGAGTCACTGAACAAAGTAACTGTACACTGTAAAAAAGAGAAGATTTTACTCGTTACCATGTCATTTCATATTCATTCTCATATCCCCATGCTTTACATTTGCATTAATACGCACCAATGAGAGCGTTGACTTTTGTAGGGTCCAAGGGGTTTTTGCTCGTTTTTTTCCCAGTGAGGCTTGAGGTGGCCAGGGTCTCACGACCAAAAAGCACAACTGCCAATTCTTGTGAAAAATTGACATTTTTGTTTTTGAAAGATGATCAAATGTTCTTTTAGGAATCATAAGTCCACCAGCCAGCGTGATCTGTTCAGAAATTCAAAGAATACAAAAATATAGTAGGTGAAAAAAGGGTTGTATATGCATCATTTGTCTTGTTTGCTCAGTGAGTTTCTTAATTGTAATTGTAATTGTCTTCCTCAATTACAAAACTACACAGTTTTGTTTGCCACCGGTCACTGAACTTAGAACAGTGTTCATACCATTTCCACTGGTGCTGATGCAATAGGCTGAAGATCACTAGATGATGTAGAGCATGAGAGGGCGGGTGAGGCAGGAGGCACCGTCATTGCTGCCACAAGCTCTTTCAATGTTTTCACCACATCTGGTAACTCTACGCAAGGGAAGCAGGGTTACCATTGGGGGATGTTTTATACATTCTTAGCATATTGTCAGGCAAACCCATAATACATATACCATTACATACCTTTCAATGCTGAAACTACTTCATCACTGATAATAGCTCTCTTTTTGGGAGGCTGCAAGAAGCTCTCTTCACTTTCAGCATCTATTAGACTCTTTAACACAACAAATATACAACAATAGATTAAGCTCTCAAGCAGTAGTGAAAGAAGTGATCACTCAAAGTTTCTGTATTGTAGGTTTTCCTATCTGTGATAGTTCAACAGAAACCAGACGCGTGCGGATGGAAAGTTGAGAACACTTTAGTCACCAACAACAAACAGTACAAAAGGGCAGAGCAAAATCGTCGTCGTGAAACAGGCAAAAAGGTCAAAAACACGGATCAATCAGAAAAGGCAACAGTACCAAAGGGAAGAAGCAAAATACAAAAACAGGTGAAACAAAGCAGTGGTCAAAAACACGGAAGTCAGATAATCAGAATAGAAACGCTCAGTAAGTCTCAAGAGAACAATACCTCGCAACAAATCTAACTAAAGCCCAGGCTTAAATACTACTAGTTCCCTATCTCTTGAAAATACACACAGGTGAAAGCAGTTAGTATTCCGGTGATTGTGAGCGCTGATAGGAGCGTTCGCGAGAGTCACTGGTCACGTGAGCCCCTACTGCACCATGGGCAATGGAGTCTTGGTCGTAATCAGAGTCCGCGTTCGATGGCCGAGTCACATGATCTCCCATGGGATTCTGAGAGATGAAGTCCGTATCATGAGAGCATGCCGTAGGCGTGACAGTACCCCCCCCCAAAGAGTCCGGGTGGGCCTCGGCACGAGGACAACCAGGACGACAACCACTCCCACCACCGGATCCTCGAACCGGGGCCGAACCAGAGCTGCCGAGGCGCTGGATAGGCGAAGTCTCTCCGCGACGATCTCTCAGACGGGCGGGACGTGAACTGGTAAGCCTCCTACGTGGACGGCCTCGGGGACGAGGAGCTGGCTTCTCAGGGTGCTGACTATGAAAGTCCGCGATGAGGCCCGGGTCCAACACGTCTTTGGCTGGCACCCAGCATTGTTCCTCGGGGCCATACCCCTCCCAGTCCACCAGATACTGAAGGAGCCTGCCCCGTCTCCTGGAGTCCAGCAGCCGTCGGACAGCGTAGACTGGGGCCCCCTCTATCACTTCCGGTGGTGGTGGCATGATGTCTGGTGTTGCCTCATCCAAGGGCCCTGTAACAACGGGTTTAAGAAGAGACACATGGAATGAGCGAGATACTCTAAAACGTGGGGGTAAGTCCAACCTATAAGTCACATCATTGATACGTTTAATTATCTTGAATGGCCCAATGTATTTAGGCTGAAGCTTACGGCAGCTCCCCTCGGAAGGGCGAAAGTCCTTCGTAGCCAACCACACTCTGTCACCAGGATGAAAGACAGGGGTTTGTCCTCTGTGTCTGTCGGCCTGTTCTTTCTGCCTTTGGAGGATGGTCTCAATGTGCTGGTGAGTCTCCTCCCATACTCGTTCACTACGCGTCATCCAGTCATCCACTGCTGGAACGTCCGTTTGTGATCCAGTCCAGGGTGCTAAGGGTGGTTGTTAACCTAAAATACACTGGAAAGGAGTCAGTCCAGTAGCAGAGCTAGTCAATGAATTTTGTGCTATTTCAGCCCAGACTAAAAACTTTGACCAATCAGAGGGGTTATCATGGCAGAAAAGTCTCAAAAACTTCCCCAGTTCCTAATTTACCCGCTCACATTGCCCATTAGATTGCGGATGATATCCAGATGACAGACTGATGGATACCCCTATGTGCTCGAAAAAGGCGGCCCATACTTGGGAGGTGAATTGAGGCCTCCTGTCTGAAACGATATCCTCCGGGATACCGAAAATTCGAAATACATAATGAAACAATGTCTCTGCAGTCTGAAAGGCACTGGGAATAGTGGCAAAGGGTATAAAACGAACTCCCCTAGAGAATCGGTCTATAACTGTCAGAACTGTCGTGAATCCTTGTGACTCAGGTAAATCTGTGACAAAATCCACAGCGATATGAGACCAGGGTCGGTTGGGTATAGGCAAGGGCATTAATTTGCCGGCTGGTAATGTTTTAGGCCTTTTGCACTGTGAACATGTGGAACAGGAAGACACAAAGGAATGAATATCCTGGGTCATTGACTCCCACCAATATCTATTGACCAGTAGCTTGTAAGTTCGAGTCTCCCCAGGGTGTCCGGAGGTTAACGAGGAATGAGCCCATGTGATCAGTGAGGTTCTAAAAGGTTCTGGTACATATAGTTTACCTGGGGGACACTGGATGGGTACTTGGACGTGGGGTAAAGCTGCTTCAATCTCCTCATCGATCTGCCATCGAATAGAGGAGACATTTACCTCAGGAGGAAGGATGGGTTCCGGTGTCTCTAATTGTGAGTTTGCCATTTCTTGATGTACCCTTGACAGTGCGTCAGCCTTGGTATTACGAGAGCCCGGCCGATAGGTGATACTGAACCTGAAACGTGAGAAAAAAAGAGACCATCGAGCTTGGCGTGCATTGAGTCTTTTGGCTGTGCGAAGATATTCCAAATTCTTATGGTCTGTCAGAACGGTGAAAGGATGATTGGCACCTTCCAACCAATGGCGCCATTCCTCCAGTGCTAGCTTTACTGCCAGTAGTTCTCGGTCACCGATTCCATAGTTCCTCTCTGTAGGTGATAGCTTGTGAGAAAAAAATGCTACGGGGTGCAATTTGAGAGGAGATCCATTCCGCTGAGATAATACAGCTCCAACTCCTGTTTCTGAAGCATCCACCTCTACTATGAAAGGTTGTGTGGGGTCGGGATGCTTCAGAATGGGCGCCGTAGTAAAAGCTTCCTTAAGATCTCGGAAGGCTTTCTCGGCCCTCGGCTTTCTCGGCCCTTTCAGTCCAAGTGATCTTTTTAGGACTTCCTTTAAGCAGTGAGGTGAGTGGAGCCGCAATACTGCTAAAGTTCCTAATAAATCTGCGATAAAAATTCGCAAACCCCAAAAATATCTGTACTTCTTTCACGGACTTGGGTGTGGGCCATTGAACAACTGCCTCTACCTTGTGGTCGTCCATAATGACACCCTGAGCGCTGATGATGTACCCCAGGAAGGACACTGACTGTAGGTGGAATTCAAATTTTTCTCCCTTGAGGAACAAATTGTTCTCTAATAGCCATTCTAAAACTGCTCTGACATGTTGGACATGGGACTCAAAGGTAGGGGAGTAGACTAGAATGTCATCGAGGTATGCTATTACAAACTGTCCTAGCATGTCTCTGAGGGTGTCATTGATGAAGGCCTGGAAGACCGAGGGGGCGATAGAGAGCCCGAAGGGCATCACAAGGTATTCATAGTGCCCCCTAGTGGTCAAGAAGGAGGTTTTCCATTCATCCCCTTCTTTAATTCGGATTAAGTTGTAAGCACTGCGAAGATCCAACTTAGTGAAGAATTTCGCCCCTTGAAGTTGTTCTAGCGCAACGGGCACGAGTGGCAGGGGATAAGGATACACTTTAGAAATCTGGTTCAGGGCTCTATAATCTATACAGGGGCGTAGGCCTCCATCCTCCTTTTTAATGAAAAAAAAACTAGAGGCTATAGGGGATGTGGATGGTCGTATAAAAGTGCTTCTTGGATATATACATCTAGTGCCTTTTGCTCCTCCTGTGTAAGGGGATATATTCTAGCTTTAGGCAGCACAGGGTTCTCTATAAGTTCAATGGCACAGTCGTAAGGCCTATGAGGAGGTAATTTTGTGGCATTTTTCTTGTTAAACACCTCCCTCAAATCTCTATATTCTGGGGGAATTTCAAACGTGGAGTCAGAGTTGGGGCTTTCTATCGAGGTTGAAGAAACGGAAATGGAAGGGGTGTCCAGGCACGTCTGGAGACAGTGTTCAGACCAGTGTGTGATTGTACGCTCTGCCCATGATATTATAGGGTTATGCCTCTCCAACCATGGAAGTCCTGGGATAATGTCGAATTCTGAGTGTTCTAAGACTAAGAATGACAATGTTTCTCGATGGAGGGCACTAATCTGTAACCCGAGGGGTATAGTGGCTTGAGAAATGGTCCCCATCCCCACAGGTCCTCCATCCAGGGCGGCTACTTTCAGAGGAGTCGGAAGGGTTTCCACCGGGAGCCACATTAGCACGTGGAGTGAACTCCACGTGCTGTCCAGGGGTTGGCGCCTTGTATCTTGGAGGTCTTGTGCGGCAGTCACGCACTTGATGTCCCACTTGGCCACAATATAGACAAAGATGATTATCTAATCGGCGCCTTCTTTCCTCGTGAGACAAGCGGGAGGAGTCACACTGCATTGGTTCCGTGGGTTCAACGGGCTCTTGTGTAACTTTTACGTGGGGCAGTGTACTTCTATGGATTCTTTCGTTCCGACTCCTTCTTCGGGAGTGAAGGAGATGGTCTAACTTAATGGCTAGAGTGATGAGTTGATCCAATGTCAGGTTTTCATCTTTGCTAGCCAGTTCGTTCAATATGTCCGTGTTTAGTCCCTGGCGGAACATAACGAGCAAAGCCGCTTCATTCCACCCACTGCTAGCAGTGAGAGTTCTAAACTCTAAAGAATAATCAACCACAGAACGGTGTCCCTGGCGTAATTGGTATAATAGTTCTCCACTTACTTTACCTTCATATGGATGATCAAACACCAACTTGAACTCCTTCACAAACTGAGCATATGACATACTATGAAGGCTGGTCCAGCTAGCTGTAGCCCATTCCAAAGCCTTTCCCGCTAAACGAGATATTACAAAAGATATCTTGGCCTGATCTGAACTAGGAGACGAATTCTCAAAAAAAACTGAACACTGCAGCAAAAAACCCCGACATTTATCGGGATTACCTTCAAATTTGTCGGGTTTGCTGACTGGAAAAACCAACGTAGAGGCTCCTGCTGCTGCTGGGAGTGGCGCAGTGCTTACAGTCTGTTCAGTGAGATTCATCCTTTGGAGTTGGCCGGTTAGTCCCTGGACACTAGCAACCAGTTGAGCTAGCTGAGCCTGCTGTTCAGCCTGTTGATGGGTCAGTGACTCTAGGGATTGAGTTACTCCTGATAAAACTTGCTGGTGGCGTCCGAGGAGCTGTCCCTGTTCGGTGGGAGCCTTCTGGAAGGCTTCCGGATCCGCCGTCTGCATGGTGGCGAGGTATTCTGTGATAGTTCAACAGAAACCAGACGCGTGCGGATGGAAAGTTGAGAACACTTTAGTCACCAACAACAAACAGTACAAAAGGGCAGAGCAAAATCGTCGTCGTGAAACAGGCAAAAAGGTCAAAAACACGGATCAATCAGAAAAGGCAACAGTACCAAAGGGAAGAAGCAAAATACAAAAACGGGTGAAACAAAGCAGTGGTCAAAAACACGGAAGTCAGATAATCAGAATAGAAACGCTCAGTAAGTCTCAAGAGAACAATACCTCGCAACAAATCTAACTAAAGCCCAGGCTTAAATACTACTAGTTCCCTATCTCTTGAAAATACACACAGGTGAAAGCAGTTAGTATTCCGGTGATTGTGAGCGCTGATAGGAGCGTTCGCGAGAGTCACTGGTCACGTGAGCCCCTACTGCACCATGGGCAATGGAGTCTTGGTCGTAATCAGAGTCCGCGTTCGATGGCCAAGTCACATGATCTCCCATGGGATTCTGGGAGATGAAGTCCGTATCATGAGAGCATGCCGTAGGCGTGACACTATCTAATTGCCTTTGTCAGACTGTGTACAACCTACCCACTCGCACCAAATTGTAATGGTGCACAGGAAATCACGCTTTATATAGTATACAGGATAAAAAAAAAATCTACATTACAAACACTCTTACACAGCCACGACAGAAAAAATGTGCTCAACCCAGCTGAATGTGCTGCAACCTCTATTGTGTTAAGCAACTGATCTATCAGTTAATGATTGTTACTTTAGAGCTGAATAGCAGAAAGGTTCAGTTATGCAGTTCTATGCACTCTATAAGTTTTATTAGAGATCTGTTCTCTAATAGCATAAATAAACTGACCATTTTTGTAGTAAAGACTGCTGAAACTCATTTCTGGTGACTGATTTACGGGTGTGGATTCCAGGTCAACAGCTGTTATGTCCGAGTCTGTGTTTGTGTCATATAGTGGTGGTGCTGTGTTAGGATCAGGGTGTTTTCTTTTTTCAGATCTTCTTTAAGAGCCTCAACCATGTGCTTGGCTGCCTTTTTTGTCAGTACCTGATCAGAAAAGAAAGAAACAAGAGGCTGTTATAGGATTACAGGGACAAAAGTCACTTTAAAATTGTAATTCTGCCAGTGTTAAAGTGTTGATTGCACACTGTACTATGTGAATATTACTGTTTACTAACTGCTGTTGATAATACTCCCATTGACAAGACATACACATTTCTAATATAAGTGACATAAGTGTCCACCAGTGTGTATTTTTTCCCCACACAAATTATCACTTTACAGCAGTTTATAAACTCAATACAGTTGCACTTCACAAGCTCTGTGTTATTAGGTTCAATTTCCACTCTTAATACTTAAGACAACATTTTTGATAATGCTTTAATTTAAAAAAATGCAGCTTTTGCAATTTAAAAATTGCGATTTTGATATAAAAAAAATCATCTTTCAGCCCTATGTCTGTCAGAAGTGAATCCCACAAGTGTATTAGAAATACCTTTGTTGTAGGCTCATCCTTCTGTAAGGACTTCGGTTCAGAATCCGCCATTTCAAGTGCCTGAAAAAAAAAACCAACAAACCAAAAAATTACAGCTGTAACTAAATACCAAATAATAATGATTGACAAGATCAACTTGCAAAACCTTCCTAGCAATTTTTTTTTAGCAGAAATGAAAGCAGGTTCTTTAAAAATAAGAGCACCTTAGCATTCTAACAGCATTTGTTACTTGTGCCATTTCTATTCATATACCTTTTTAGTTTTCTTTGAGTTAGCACGCAGTGCAGCAGTTGTGATGTTTGATTCTGCATGGGATGTCCGAGTTCTATGTGGAACCTGAAAACAAAACATAGACCTCATAAGTACAAGGTAGAAGTATCTAATCAACTGGTAATTCAGTGCATGTGCATGGGAGTGATTCTTTTTTACGGTATATATAATTGTATATGTATTATTAATTATTAGTTTGTTATTTTGTCAAAATCTGCCAGAGGTGAGTCCTACACATGTGCTACAAATACCTTTCTTGTGGGCTCTTCTGTCTGTGAGGACTTGAGTTCAGGTTTTGAATCCATCAATTTAGTTGCCTGAAAAATACAGCTATAAATAAATGCGGACTGTCATAGTCAACTAGCAAAAAAATCTTGTCCATCTTTTAGTAGCAGCAAAAAAAATAAAGCAGGCTCTTTTTAGAGTTTGGGTTCTATATGGAACCTGAAAACAAAATAGGGGACAGAAAAAGAAATTCGAATCTTGAAAGAAACAAGATTTGGCCAGCTGATGCGTAAGCAGAGCACATAGGATCAGATAATTCCAAGAGCCAGTGTCTTGCATTTTTTCAAAAACTATACCTGTCTTTGGGATTCTTAGGTTTGGGGTACTGATCTACCCAAACAACCCATGACAAGCCACTAACATATTTAGACAGCTAGCTAATGAGTATCAAGGCACATGCCACTTAACATTCAGATAATTTAGCAAACTGTGACTTCCTGAAAATCCTCAATATTCTCAATATTCTTGTGCTACTCCAGTGAATTAGCAAATTTTCATTGGTAGCTACACATCAATACTTCTTACAACCAAAACCCTGAACAAAATGTGACCAACCTTTCCTTTCCTTTTAAGGGGAGTTCTGCTTTTGTTCTTCATGGTCAAAACCATCTGTTCAAAAAGATTACATTAAAACAAATCCGTCATTAAGCAACAATGTGAAAAAAACGACCACCACTGGAAAGAATTTATAGATATTTCGTTTAGCAAAATATCCCACTACTAGCACACTTCATATTTTTGCATAATATCTTTCACAAGCTTTTGATTGAGAGTACAGTATGAGAGTATATATACAAAAATACACAAACATATTTATTACACTAACGCTACATCTAATGCAGCCTTGGATAGTCCCTGCTAGCAGTCGAAGGAGTTTAGTGCTCACAACAGCCATTAAACAAATGACTGAAGCAAGTTGTTTTGCGAGCTAACATTCTAGCTAGCTAACTTTCGCATTAGTTAGCTAGCTGGCTAGCTAGGTAACGTTTATGACCGAAGCTTAACGCTAGAAACATGTGCTCTTATCGTCATTTGCGTTCAGAGAACATTTTCTGAAGTATGTGTGCTACGTCTTTACTGTTCCAGCATCAGATAACGTTATAACGTCGTTTTAATATGGCATACATACAAGATCTTACCTAATAGGTTCTGCCTACAAGTGCTCTGCTCCTCCAACGCAGCTCCACAACGTTCTTCTTCGCTATCTTGTCCACAACGAGGCTGCATGTTAATTGGCTGCTTTGATTTCAAACTTCGAGCGCAAAGCCTTAAACCAGAAAAGCGCCAAATAAGGAAATATAGATTTTTTCTTTCCTGAAGAATCTACATAAAGACAGACGTGTATTTTTTACACAGGTAAGAATTCAAAGACATGTTAAAAATGAACAGATTCTTGTAAGCCTTTTTACTGGGTTGGATTTTATTGACTGTACTGGCAAACACTGGTGATTAAATTATTGCAATTATTGCTTGTAAATAATTACAGAATGCAGGATAGCTTTTTTTCTTCTTTTTGCTTCTTTCTTTTTTTTTCTTTTTTGTCTGGGCAGATGGTAGCCCCACAGTGAGGATTGTGAGAACGCCACAGAGGAACCGTCCAATCACTTTGATGACCAGTATCAATGTGGATCAGTGATAGAGAGACCAATTAAAGCATGTTCACAGGTACTGTAAAGGATTTATACGTTTAATAAGGTTAATGTGAGACTTTGGCGCATTGCATGTATACTTTGTGTGACCATGTTTACATTTGCATAGGACCTCAGATTGACTCACAGTGTGTTATTTCTTCATTTAACAAGAAAAAAACAATTAAATAGGCATGGTGAAGAGGGATCATTAAAGGGACTTGAGAAGGACACATTCAGCACAAATTCATCAAAAGTAATTTCTGTATATGAATTACTGAAGTGGAGAATTCTAAATTTGATGTTAGATAAGATTAGATAGAGGAACAAGTGTTCTTTTTTGCAGAGTGATGCGGATTATGCTGTAAACACCACAGAGGAACAGTCCAGCTACTTTGATGGCCAGCATCAATGTGAACCAGTACAAGGGACACCAACCAAGACATGTTTACAGGTACTATAATGTGCTTATAGTTTGGTATAATGGTTAAACTACAACTAACTTTCATTTAAAATAAATACAAATAAACAGGGAGTCATGGAATGACAAGGGACCCTTCACTGAATGTCTTTTCAGTGCCATGCAGAGACATTCAGCTGACACATTCATCACATGTAATTAATTGATGTAAATAATTACAGAATGTTTTTTTTTCACCATTCATTTATTTATGTTTTGCTTCAGCATCACATGGAGTATGCTGTAACCATCACAGAGGAACAGCCCAGCTACTTAGATCAATGTGAACCAGTACAAGGGAGACCAACCAAGACATGTTTACAGGTATTATGATGTGCTTCTAGATTTGGTATAATTATTAAAGTAAATGAAAAATAACTTTCATTTAAAATAAATTAATCTCAGAGAATCTCAGATGGGATTTCCTGTGATGAGGGACCATTTGGTGAGTCCAGACCGACACAGGGGCAACCAGAAATACTTGAAGAGACACCTAACAGGAATTTATTGCAAGTAATATGGCCTAATATTTATGCTGAGCTGATTATGCTGTACAGTGCACTATATGAAACCTGCCATTACAGAATGAAAATCATAAATAATGGAGACCATTCAAAACCTACATGATTTGTTATCAACATTATTCATTTTGTTATATGTTTTAAATATAAGCTTATATTAAAGTATCTCAAAAAGAATGACAATGTCTTAAAAATACAATCACAACCTAGCAGAAATCATGTACTACAATTAGTTGGGCAGCTGAACTACAGGTACATGTGGACCTTTGCACATTTGAAAGCCAAGGAATATTTTTGTAATTCGTAACAAATTAAAATATGACAGTTGCAGTACTCTTTTCAGTGAATATACTTTTTTATTATAGCAAAATTAAAGAAGAGGTGTATTGTTTAAGCAGTGATGTTTCTCCATTCTTTGGGTATGTCATAACATAACATCGGTACATTTGAAGATATTCATGTCTCATTTCTAGGTTGAATTCTTTAACAGGCCTTTGTAAGGTTCATTTATTTTAGGTGACACCAAGAGATTCGTCTTACACAAACAAGCTAAATAATTATGTTTATGCATGTACATTTTAGATGCCACATGCTGATGATGAACTTCTGTATCCTGGCGCACCTCTCACAAAAGGGCAGAGTCTGCTGCTGTTGATGTCCTATGTCCTGCAACATAACCTGACTGGAATAGCTCTGGAACATCTTCTCAAGATTTTTAATGAACATTTCCCTGGGTTAGTGCCAGAAAGTATGTACATGTTTAACAAAGCTTATGGAGAGTATGGTCATTATGAACCTCATTTTTACTGCTCCTTATGTTTTATGTACATGGGGACAAGGGAGAAAAGTCCAACACAGTGTGCAGCCTGCCAGGTTGTATTTGATGCAGACACTAATCTTAAAAATGGCTCATTTTTTCTAATGATGAGTTTGTCATGCCAGATTAAAGAAAATCCCAATTTACATTTATCTAGAGAGACCGCAGCTAAAGAAGGGGTTCTGAATGACATACAGTGTGGAGCAGAGTACAGAAAATTAAGAGAAACTGGGCAGTTAGGTGAACATGATGTTAGTTTGCTGTGGAACTGTGATGGAATTCCCATTTTCAAGAGCTCAAAATACCAAGTGTGGCCAATTCAGTGTCAGATCATTGAACTAAAGCATAAAAGTTAGAAAAAGTAACATCTGTGTGCCGTGTATTTGGTTTGGAGAAAAGAAACCAATCATGCACACTCTCCTGACTCCCTTTGTGAATGAACTTTTATCTCTAGAACAGGATGGCATTACATGGAAAGATACACAGAACAGAGAGCAGAGGTCCAAGGTATTTGCACTTATATGTAGCTCAGACTCTGTTGCCGCCCATTACTCAGGAACACCAAACAATTCAATGGGGTATATGGGTGTGATTTTTGCTATCACACAGGTGGAGGTCCTTATCCCTTTAGAAGACCAGAACCTCTTCTCAGATCTGAGGCAGAGCATTACGACCATGCTTTGTCGGCAACTCCACAGCAGACAGTCATGGGGGTGAAAGGTCCATCAGTATTGATGAGGTTAGATAAGTTTCAGATGATTAACGGCTTCATTCCAGAATACCAGCATAGTGTTTGTCTTGGTGTGACTCGACAGTTGGCAAATTTGTGGCTGGATTCAACTAATCACGACAAAGAGTGGTATATAGGCACAAAAACAGACATTGTTGATCAAGAATTGCTTGCAGTCCAACCTCCCATAGAGTTAACTAGAACACCACGATCATTACAAGATCGGAAATTTTGGAAAGCATCAGAGTGGAGGTCATTTCTCCTTTTCTATTCATTGCCGGTACTGAATGGTGTTCTAATAAAGAAGTACTGGAATCATCTATTTCTTTTAGTTTTTGCCATGCACATGCTTCTTCAAGAAAATGTATACTTTTGCAGTGTTAATGCAGCAGAAATGGCACTTAAGAAGTTTGTTATCCAGTTTGAGGTACTGTATGACATTGAAAATGTGTCATTTAATGTACACTTGCTGACACACATCACAGCCAGCGTTAGGAACTGGGGTCCTTTGTGGGCAACTTCCACGTTTTCTTTTGAGTCATTCAATGGCACTCTTGTAAAGTACTTCAATGGAACTACACATGTACCTGTTCAGATAGTAAAGAGATTCCTTAGGTGGAAGAGTCTACCTAAAAGGGGAGAAAAGTGCATAAAGAATGCAAATAATAACATCAAAGAGCTCTTCTCTCAACTTCAGAACAGCAGTTCCGTGACTGCCAAATCAGAACACCTGAGTGGAAATGTAAGAGTTTTTGGTACTGCTTCAAACAGAGTTTCTGCATCACACATCTTAGCCACTGAAGCCTTAAGCGGTGTTCCAGTAACAAAGTGCATGTGTTACAGCCGTTTCCTTATAGATGATGTAATCTATCACTCAGAAGGTAACAACAGGTTGCAGAAGAGAAATAATTCTGTTGCAGAATTACAAGATGGAACATTGTGCAAAGTCTTGAGTCTTGTAGCTTATGAATTAGTTGATGAAAATTTTGCAAGTGAAAAACAGTGAAGGAGCTTGTTAGGTCAGGAAGGCAACTCTGTAGAGATGTTCAGTTAAACATTTCATCCAAGTTCATGCATGAAGTGTCTGAGTCAAATGATGTCTATGCAGTACATGCAAAATCTGTCAAAGGAAAATGTGTCATGATCAAGAGCAAAGATAAAACATATGCCATTCCTCTCCCTAATAATGTGGAGAGAGACTGAAAGCCTTTATAGGTCTAAAATGTGACTTTTGTCACATTTAAAAGAAAAGGATAGTATAACTTTGAAGGATCCACAGAACAGAGAGCAAGATCCAAGGTGTCTGCACTTATATGTAGCCCAAACACTGTTGCCCGCCCATTAATCAGGAACACCAGACTATTCAATGGGGTGCATTGGTATGATTTTTGCTACAAGATGCAATGTTGTGCAGTCTTGAGCCTTGTAGCTTATGAAATGGTTGATGCAAATTGTGCAGGTGAAAAAAAGTGATGCGTGGTGATGAAGGAGCTTGCCAAGTCAGGAAGGCAGCTCTGTAGAGACATTCAGTTAAAACACTTTATCCAAGTTCATGAAAAAATGTATGATTATTTTCTGAAATTAAAGGATTTTTGTTGCATTTAAAAGGCTTGTTAAAGGACTATAATCAAATGCTCATCAGCTTTACCTTTTCACATTGGGTACAAAAGAGAATTTTAATGTGTGAAAGTGTTTTTGTTTTGTTTTAATATGTTTTACATTTATATACTAATAAATCACTGAGAAATATCACTTTGGTTCCATAATTTTAAGCACACATTAATTATGCATTTTGTATGTGTCAAGTATGACAAAGTACAAATTAAACTACAATACATCTAAAGATTATATGAAAGAACACTTTGTTGCCTAAATTTGGTCATAAGAAAATTAATTTTAAGTTGACTTAAAATTTTTTTGAAGTATGCTTCAGTATGTAAGTAAAATCCATTCACACAAGTGTACTTCCTAAGTTATACTACAGCATACTTTAAATCTTTAAAATTATTTTTTAAATAACACTTAAAATGACATGATAATTAAATATATTTTTGGTTGCGTGTGCTTTAGTATGTGAAGAAATACATTGATTTAAGTGTACTTCCTAAGTTGTACTAAAGCATACTTTAAAAGGAATTTCTTTTTTAATAATAAATTTAAGTTCATGTGAAAATTAGATACTTTTGTTTAGGTACACTTTTGTATGTGAAAAAATATATTAATGGAAGTGTACTTCTAAAGTTGCATTAAAACATACTTTAAAAGGCATTTCTTTAAAATATACTTTTTAAATAGTACACTTTAGTTGACATGATAATTAAATGTACTTTTGTTGAAACGTTTTAGTTTGCTTAGAAGCACATATATGCTAAATGCATTCTCAAACAACACACTAAAGTATACTTTTCAATGTATTTCTTCAAAATATATTTTATAGAAATACATAAAAGTATATTTATTGTGTATTTTCATAAAGAACATAAAACGAAAAAATGTACTTTCAGTGTTCTTTACACAATTTGAATATACTTTTCGTGCTCTTAAGTATACTTCCTTTTCACAAGGGGTCATTGGGCAGATGACAGGAAACACCCTGGACAGGTTGTCAGTCCATTTTAGGGCGCAACATAAATAACAGATTCCAATTGCAACGGCTGCTATTGAAATAATGAAGGAATTACACACACCTGTTTCCTGTGTTAGACAGCTAACATAACAATAACTTTGTCAACATCACAATATTTATGGATCTGACTGTATGAAAGAGGCTCAAATCAGAATTGAAACTGTCGCATTCAATGTGTTTTTACTGTTTACACTACAAGTCCAAACCAGAGCTTAGGCCTTTGTGACATTGTATCTATTTTATTTGGTTCTGTTGGTTTCGCAAATGAAAAAATAAAATGCAAGAAAATGCAGGATGTGGGCCCTTAAATGTTGTGAGTTCCTGCCAAAGTTATTACAGGCCTGCAGTGCCCCCTTTTTTCCTACCAAGGAAGGAAAAGAGGGACAAGAAGCCACTGGAGAGTCACTTTCACAGCTCACAGGTACACTGATACACACTTAAAAAGGATCATAAATCAGCTACAGAAATTAAATATCAGCAACTATTTACAGAGAGAAAAACGTACAGATATAGTTGACAGTATTTGTGAGTAGCTGTCACTCTTATCATGACAATCGACATGACATTGTATCTATTCTATTTGGTTTTGTTGGTTTCACAAGTACAGTAGAGCCCAAATTACACACGTTTGTATATTGGTAGGAATTTTCCAGGGATGTAAGTGCTCTGTTACTCTCATATTCACCACAATTTGAGCCAAAAAACTCCAACTTTGTTCTTTATGTATCACAGTCTAAGCAATACCATTAACCCTTACTTTATATCTAGTTTATGATAGCTGGTTTGTCAATTTGAATGTTGCTAATCAGGATGCTTATGCAGTAAGTTCCGTGATCCATGTGCCAAAATCAAAGGCATTGCTTCACTATTATTTTAAGGCTTAACGGCTGTTAATAGCAGCAGCTTGTGCTGCAATAATGTTAAAAGCTTAAAGAGTCAGATGTTTAAACAGGCAGATTATGTGGTTATTATAGGGCTGAGGTGCTGCTAGAATGTTTGGAGTGCTGTCCAGCAAGCCTCCTTTTCCTGACACTTAATAAAAGTAATAAATAAAATAATTAAAAGTATTAAATTATATCACAATAGATATATATGTTCTTCCACCACACAGGACTGAGGGTGAAGGGTGATCAACAGATGTAGTAAAAAGGTGATGTAGTGAAGTGAGCTGTAGATGACAGTGTTAGTGAGTGTAATGATGCTACAGCAGGTGAGATCATCTCTAACTTTACTCTTCTTGTTAATACTGTGAATAAAACACTGCAGCCAGAAATAAAGTATGAGCCCAATTTTTACTCATTTATGTTAGTTAGTGAATGAGCTAAGAAGTCATTCAATGTATAATTTATTTGCCTACAATAAAGATGATCATTCCCAAAACGTGTAAGCAGAGAGAAAGAAGCAAAAGCCACAGGAAGAACTTCAACTCACTGCCATCCATCACACAGGACTGAATGTAGAGGATGACCAGCAGACCCAGGAGGAGAGCACGAGGACAGACGCTCATGTCTGCAGCTTCAGCTCCAGGAGATGATGATCTATGATCTGAACTGAACTGTAAAGAGGAAAATACCATCTGACCCTCAGCCTTTAATCTGAGCCAAACATCTCTGCACTGACAAAGCTCAGCACTGATAAACGAACAAAAGACAATATGAGCTCTAATATCACCCTCTAATGGCACCCTTAATAAAGGTGGATACAAATGGTCATTAAAAACTTCTTTGTTGTTAATTAGCCGAATCTCAATTACTGTCACTGCTAGAAATACTTATGAACGAAATGTGACTGAAGCATGTTCACATTTATATTTCACATTTTTAAGCCCACCTTAGAGCAGTGAACTTCAGGAGGTCATGAGTTTGAATCCTGGTGATGCCTCAGCTCTGCGTAGTGAGGAGTCTAAGAGGAGGGAGCCCCACACTGTAAGTCGTATCCTGTTGGTGGGAAGAGGAAATTACTAAATTGGGGCAGGAACAGAGTAAAATCAGTTAAAAACGTAAACAATTTCAGGTTATAAGGAGGCAGCCACATTCACTGTTTTTTTCTGAGTGAGCTCAACTTAAACTGTAGTTTGTAGACTTACCTGGGATACAGAATTAAAAATGTAAGTTAGGAGAACATTTGAATAAACTGAGTTCAGAAAGTTAAAAAAAATCTATTCAAACGTTAAATTTAAAGTTGACCTTTTAAGAGGGCACACTTTAAAATTTGATATTAATGTCTGATGCCACCCAACATTGTTAATATAAATTGGGCAAAGAGTACATTAGCATCTTTCTATGGGTTAAATAAACAAAGAAATAAATAAATGAAAAATTATTTATTTATTTATTTACTGATCATTAATTCCTTTTTTATAAACCAGTGCCTGATACCATGGGCAGTTAGTTAACTGAGATGAGACTCAAGCCTGGTGGAGACATTACTGTGTCTATTAATATTTACTTATATGTTACAGTAAATAGTGATACTATATCACTTGCTACATTGTACTACAAGAGTTTTATTAAAGGGTAAATATGATGGAAAACTGAATTTTCCTTGTTTTGAATAAGAATCAAAGAAGACCAATGTAGACCTTTTCCAATGTCCACCATAGACTGATCACGCACCCCTTTACCGTCACTGCACACCTGCACTTTAAACTCTTTAACTGTCTGAATGATGCCTTGAGACCTCAGTCTTTCTGTACAGTTTACAGTGACAATGTTGCACTGTTTCTTCACTCTCATGGTGCTTTGATCCATCTATGCATTTGTGTATACAGATATCAACCCTATTCATATATATTGTTCTGTTGTTCTTTCTAGTTAGCATTATGTATTTATTGTAGAAATATGCACTTATTAAGCCAACAGAAGTTTAGCCCCGCCCACTCACACTGAAAGTATAAGGAGTGTTTAAACCAAGACTACTTTTTGAATGGGCAGCCAATTGGAACAGAGCTCATCCGCATATATGAATCTTAAAGGCGCAGTAACAAAAACAGCCTGTTTAATTCTAACGGATAACGAGAGGCTGGAAAAATGGTCATGTAGAAATGACTGTGTTTTTTTTTAAACCCCACACAAACGTTACAAGTTGAGCAAAAATAAAATGCAAGAAAATGCAGGATATGGGCCCTTTAATGCTGTGAGTTCCTGCCAAAGTTATTACAGGCCTGCAGTGCCCCATTTTTTCCACTGAGGAAGGAAAAGAGAGACGAGAAAACACTGGAGAGTCACTTTCAGTTTCACAGCTCACAGTCTAACGGTTCATTATTTACAGAGGTTTATTATTTACAGCTGTTCATTTCTGTATCAGACTCACATTCACACATATAAATGCTGTGAAAACAGCTGGTTTATGGACAGAACTGAACAGAAGCTTCTCAAACTTCTCTAAACAAACACCACACAGTCAGATCCAGACCCTCACACTGCACACAGAGTTATATAACACACTGATACACAGATAAACAGGATCATAAATCAGCTACAGAGATTAAACAACAACAGATAACAACAGAGAGATAAACATACAGATATAGTTGAGAGTATTTGTGAGTAGTTGTCACTCTTATCATGACAATCTCTACTAACAGTGACAGTTTATGAAAAAATAATGCACAAAACCTTCCACAGAGAATGTAATGATACTGGAGCACATCTGCTGAATGTATCTAGAACCCTTTCAGAGAGGATTAAAGCTCAGATGGCTTTTAGAAAGCTAGATTTTTGTTGGATTCTGAGCAAAACTTACCTTCACAAAGTGTCCAACAGGCCTTCACTGTTTAATGTTGACTCTCCACAAACAGGAGAGATATAATAAACATGAGAGCCACCTAGTGGTAAAATCCTGAAATTCACCCACATAATCAATTTCTGTTTACATTTTTTCACATTACCTAAAGCAGTAATTGTGCTCAGTATTTATGCATCAAACAGTTGTTTTTAGGAACATGAATGCTGTCAGAAGGACGTGCTGTTGGGAGAAAAGTGCAGTTCTGTCAAATCATGAATAAATGTAGCTCACAGAGTAATAATCTTAATAACATCAGTAACATCAGTGACATTACATCAGTGTTAATCTGTTAAACTGTGAGGGTCCGTATGAGACCCCACACTTCAACTCCTCACTCTTACAAATATAGAACTTACACTTCAGTTCAGTTACTGAATGTTATCACAGTTACTAAATAATAATTCATAGCAGATACTGAATAATTTATAGTAGTTACTGAACCATTTATAGTGATTAATAATTAATTGTAAATATTGAATAATTCATAGTAATTACTGAATAATTCACAGTAGATACTGAATAATTAATAGCAGCTACTTAATAATTCATAGTAATTACTAAATAATTCATAGTAGATACTGAAAACTTCATATTGGTTAGGGAATAATTCATAGTAGTTAAAAATAATAACAAACTAAATTACAGCTACATATCACTACATCATCTGCGTGAGAACCTTGATTATTATCCACTTCTCCGTTTTGTTGGTACAGTATTCATTCACTCTTTCTTTTGTATATTTGAATATTTTTTGTCAGACAGAAGCAGCAGAACATGAATTGTGGGCTTGTGAGTGTGCTAGTGTTAGCTTTAGCATTAGCTTGTGTCCTACACAGAAACTGTAAGTAAAACAGTATGTAGCAATAGCACGTAGCCTGCAGTCTGACGGATCCTGATCCTTGGTTAGTTAATGTCACACAGTGATTTCTGTCTTTTGCTTTACTTTGTAGTTTTTGTTATTATAGATTTGTAAACCACAGTTTTAAACAATGTACTGGATGGTGTGAAGTAAAGTGAGTTAGTTTGTTAAGGCTCCAGGGTTGGGAGGGTTACTGTAAACATATATTCTGGTACAGGTTACTGATTAAAAAGCTTAAAAATGTGATCTGTAATTAAAGTGATGTAATCTGAAGACTTTCTGGTAGTAAGCAAAGAGGAGAGAAAATAATTTCAGCAGAACAATTTTAATCAAAAACAAATCAAATGGAAGTGAGCAGAAACAATGTAGATTATATAGTTATCTATGCTTCATCTGTGCTAATTTTAAGCCTGTCTGTTTCAAATGACCTAAGAACACATGGCTAACAACCATGCTTAACGTTACTACACTCCGAAAAGCACACAGCATCTCAAAATTTTTGTTTTTCATGAAATGCTGCTGCCAGTCAGCAACTCACAGCACTGACTTTCATCATTTCCTCAATTACTGCATTAACTTAAACCCAGAAACAGAGCACTGAAAGCCATAGACTCTCAATTTTCACAGAGAAGGCAGTCAGTCTGAAGTGCTAACCCTCCTTTTCACCTCTACTAACGTTACTAGCCTCGTCACATTTCACTTCGTACCTGTTCACTCGAAAACAGCACATTTGTGAAGAATAAATTATCTGATACCAAATGTAATTAATCCACTAAATTTATCAAATTTGATATTAAGAAAGTTTTATTCCATTAAAACAAAACAAGCACAGACAGAATATAACATTGAAAACCTATCCTGAAATTCAGATGAACTTGAGCTCGGTCCACCAGTGTGTGGTAGAGGTCACTTAGTAAAGCCATTATCATTTCCAAAACAACCAAGGTTTGTTTGCCAAGAGGCAAATTCCCCCCTTTCTCTGGCTGAAACACTGCAGAGCTGTTCAAACGGTGGAACAATAAATAAACACAGCTCGCTGTTCTCTCTTCAACTTTTCAAGTCAAAATACAGCTGATACAGCCACCAATCAGCATCAGAGCTGATGTTTTGAATAAACAAAGCCAATCAGAAATCATGAATATGTGATATATTTATGAAGAAATGTGTAAAATGGTCTGTGGTTTTCAATGTTTATCAAAAGAAAAAACAATGCGGTTTATTATTATTTCAGCCTCAGATTCTTGGTCTTTGCTCATTTTCTGTGAAGAACATATAAAATAACCCATTTTCAGTGTCTTCACTCTGTTCACCCCCCACACATTTATATTACGCATGTGGTGTTGGGTGAACCCGCGGGGAGTAAAAGTGTGGAGGTGCTGTGTTCTTTACTCTGTTCTCCTCCTACATGGCCTGCTGTTAGTGTGTGTGTGTGTGTGTGTGTGTGTGTGTGTGTGTGTGAGGGAGGACAACATGGACAGGCTGCTGACTGGTTACAACTGCTAAAGGAGAACCCTACGCTGGACACTTGTGATATTTTAAACATCTGGTATTTTTACATAAATTGTTGTGGTTGTATTGATTTAAAATACAATAATGCGGTGGGTCCACCAGACCACTGAGTAACACATCAACACCACACAAGGGTTAAAAAAACACACAGTTAGAGGCCCTGAATTTTCCAGGGCCCTGGGCTTGCATTAAATCGTCCAATATGGAAATGACCGATCAAAACTCATGGTTGATGTTTTTTTTCTTCGATTTGCAAAGTGGAACGTGGAATATAAAAATATAAATGAGTGTAGTAAATAGGTGGGTATAAGTAGGTACAGGTAGAAATAAAGCCTCTGTTCGGGTACAATTTTTGTTCATCAAGATACAAACAATGTAAATGTTCCCTCAAAGGTACAACAGTGGTTTTAAGGTCTGATTATGAACCTTAAATAAGTTTTTCCAGGTGAAAAGTTCGTATTTGTACCTTTTCATAACCGAATGTTTTAAAAGAGAACAGTAAAATAAAAGCCTGGAGACGAGACGGGGTGTGTGGAGTCAGTACAGCTTAGAACATATCATTTCAGTGGATTATGGTTCAGTTATGTTCCCTGACTAAAGGTACTCAGATGTACCCTTGAGGGAACCACCCCAGTGACAAGAGGGGCACTGCCCCAGTGACAGTCTAGGACCTTTATTTCTGAGAGCGCACACAGACTTATGAGCGGATGTCAGTATATGGATACAGATCAGGACCGCTGCACTGGTGTCCATGGTGTCCATGTATCTGTGTTCCAAGAAGAAAAGTTTTAGGGTTTGCCCTTAAGATTTGGCAGAACCAGATAAACTCAGTTGGGTCAGGTCTTATCGTTTTGGGTGCAGGTGGGGTTTGAGCTTCAGTTTCATGTTCAGGTGGATCTGTAGATGAGTCGGGCCTCAAGGTGTCAGGTGCAGGTGGAGTTTCAGCTTCAGTTTGACTATGAAGATCAACTGTTCTCATGGTGACCTGAACCCACTTAAGGTCAGGATCTACACAGATAGTCTGACCTCTCTGAATGGTAAAGCTGCAGGAAAGAGAACATAAGTGTTTGTGTTGAACTGTAATGTTTAACTTTATACAACAGTTCCGGCCAAGGAGGTGATCATAATGTTATGCCTGGTCGGTGTAAGCAAGCAAGGATTCATAAATCAGTTGCATTCTTGTACAAAATTAAGCATGTATGTATGTCAAACTGGGGACTTTCTGGGTCAAAGTGCTGTGGAGGTCAATGTTCACCCTCATCTAACACTCTGAATTCAGCTCATTAAGGCCTTGCTAATTAGCTGATGAGCTGAATTAGCTGTGTTTAATAAGGCAGTGAGCTGAAGTCTGCAGTGTTTTGGCCCACAATGATTGGAGATTGACACATGTGATGTACACAATATACAATAGTTTGTGCGCCTGCTTAGTCCCACACATTTTCTAGAAAAACTAGACAAGAGATCAGTCCTGTTTTGGCCTATGAGTGATTTTGCCTCATTTTAGCTAAATATATAGGAAGTGTTACACACTGTTTACATGGCACCTTAATGACTAAGGCTTCAGTAATCTGCCTTTGTCCATCATTATGTTATGTATTATAACATTATGTATGTTTTCATCTATATTATATTAGATATTAAATATGGTGAGGAGAGAAGTTCAGTATGAATGTAAGACAGGATTACAACACCCAGAAACAGGTTAGGAGCTCCTGTAGGGGGTGCAGTCATGAAGTTCATTACAAATCATGAAAAATAATACTATTAATTAATGGATTCACTTTATTTACAGCACTAGCTTTTTTATAATAGACTTTTTAAGATCATCGGCCGTTTCTTGCTTTCGTCAGGTCAGACAGATGTGTAAAACATCAGTTTCTCTCAACTTGTGGCACTTTCTATCCATAAATTCATATGTATAGCATCCAAGCGAAGCTAAAAATAAGAGTTTGTGTAAGAATGTGTCCAGGTGTGTTGCTCTGTGAGATTTTGTGTTTGGGTTTCAAATTTTGCAGAACCAGTTTGGTTCATTTGACTCAGGCCTGAAGGTCTCGGGTACAGGACGGGTTTGGGTTTCAGTTCCACATTTACATGTAGCTGGAGTTGTATCTGGTTTTGAGGTCTTGGGTTCAGTTTCACGTCAATCTGAAACTGTGGTTGGGTCAGGACTCGTCTCTGGAGCAGGTCGGGCTTCAGTTTCATGGTTGTGTGGATCTTTAACTGGATCAGGTGTTAAGGTCTCAGGTACTGGCCGGGTTTTGGTTTTAACCCTGTGGCAGTGCAGCCTATCAATGCTTTGCATACGCCACTGAAGGCCAGGGTCTGTGCACACTTGTCTACCCATCCGGGTGGTAAAACTGTGGTTAACAAAAAATCAACGTTGGTATTGACATTTGACAAAAATATTTTGCAAAAAAACAACTGTTATGCTTCTGATAGATAATCCTATAACATAACTGCCTGATACCATTTAAATTCAAATTAAATTAAAGTGCTGTAAGAATACATGCAATATGTCAAAGTGACAAAAAAATTAGAAGTGAATACAGGTCTTCCTACTGCAATATTAAAGAAAGGTTGGGGGGTGGAAACTTACATCACTCCAGCCTGTGGACAGTCGATTCTTGTTTCTTCGTACTTAGTAAGGAGAGATGCAGGGATTGG